GAGAGAGAGAGAGAGAGAGAGAGAGCGAGAGAGCGAGAGAGCGAGAGAGAGAGAGCGAGCGAGCGAGCGAGAAAGCGGCCTGGTAACAGAGGAATTGGGGGGGTGGGCATTAGAGGGCTGGTCTGGCATCCCCCACTGCCCATACACACATGAAGCTCATGCCACACGAGCTGAGGCAGAGAGGAGCGCCGTGTGGAGCACGGAGGAGGCTTTCTGGGCAGATTCCAGTATCCACCACATCTCTAGTGACCCCAGCAGGACACAGACAAGAATCTAGAACACCCCCGCCCACGGGGCCTGCAATCCAGTCAGGAAAACGCCAGAGGAAAAAAGGCTTATGCTGAGCACAAATCCCCCTCCCAAGTATGTACTTTAACAAATAAAAATCCCACGAAGTGTGGTGACTCGTGATGGCATGACAGTTAAGACCACGGGCTAGAGGCCCTGTGTGCTGTCAGCGACCCAAATCTTCCCTTTCCTTCATTTGTGAAGGGGAGATAGTAACCGTAAGCTGCCTCGCAGGGTTATGAGCATTAAACCAGAGGGCACGTCGAAAGCCCTCAGAGAGGCCCTGCAACGTAACCCCAAGCCGCAGTGCTGAAAGTGTGGGGTGAGATCACGTGCTGGAGTCCCAACTCTGCCAGGAGCTCAGGCCATCAGCAAGGCCACCCACGTGCTCCCCCGAGCGCCAGGGCCGCCAGGAGACACCACAGGACCTACTCACGGCGGGGAGGACAACTGGGTGGAGGAGTGCCAGGAAGACGTTACAGCAAAGATACACATCTTACCTGCCCACAGAAACCACCCTAGGAAAAGCCAGAGCCAAGCAACTTTGCCGAGAGCCACGACGCCTTGGGCAGGGCGTTCTGGCGTCTAACCGTGGTCAACGGCCACACCGCTAACTCCGACTCGGACTTTCCACGCTAGGAGCACCTGGGGAGTCAACCTGGGAGCTCGGAGAGCGAGCACTCCCCCACCCCCGACGCTCTGGTCCAGGGACCCTGCCCTGACTCCCCCTTCCTCTCTAGAGGAAAGTAGGTGGCATGTGATTTTCCTCTCCATTAGCTCACAAATACCTTTAAAGCGTCACTCACCTACACTTCCAAGAGCCGCCACCGCAACGGTCTCACACTAGACTTGGGAGCACACAGTGACAGGGTTACCAGCATCGGGAGCAGAAGGACACCTACCAGCTCCACGTCCGGCGGCACGTTCAATCCGAAAGGCGCAACGAAAGGCTCCTCGTTTTCCTCTACATTTTCAGCCTCATTTTTTTCTGTATGAAAAGAAAACATAAAAAACTTCAGAACAACGACCTGGAAAGAAGGCACCCAAGCGACAGCTGGCGACCAGGAGGGGGAGGGCGGCGGCAGCCGGCTCTTTACGGTTCTCCCGGACCCGCTGCTCCAGGAACGCGTCCTGTTTTCTGTTCATTCCACCACGTGCAGGTAAAATCCCCACGCCGAACCCCAGAGAGGCGGGGAGCTGCAGCGGGAGGTGGTGCCCCCCGCCCTCCGTCTCAGCCTCTCCCTCGTACAAATGTGGTGGCAGCACGGACCTGGGGCCGGGAGGCTGAGACAACTCGTGTGTGGGCCTCCACCCCAACGCTCGGGGCTGAGCAGGCGCCCGACAGCGTCCAGTTCTCCTCCCCCCAACCCCTGGCCTGCTGGGCACTCCTCCTGACTGTCTCTGTGGACCCCACCGAGTGGTAGGCAGAGTGCAAGGTGCTCAATTCCGAGGCGACCACTTTTCATTGCTGAACTGCTAAGCCCTCGCACCCAGCTGCCAAGACTTCCCTACTCAAGCAGACCACCTCTCTCACAAATAGTCAAGTGCACTTTTTTCCACTTCCATTTATTCTTTAGTGGCTTATTCAGTAAACATTTGTCTGCTGTACGTTAGACAAGGTACTAAACCTTGTAACTCTGAACTCCAAGGTACCCCCTGCACACTGTCAATGATCAATCTCAAAGGACACAGAGACACACACCAAAAACATGGTAGAAAACTCATAGAAGCTATCGGTTTAAAGGATTTCAGCATCTTAGGTTTTCTTTCAAAAAAGATGACATTAAAGAAATACGAAATCATCATCAAAACAAACGTTTCCAGCATACTCGATGGAGTCTCCTAAAACAGACGAACCATTTCAAAGGTCTCCTATCAAACCTACTTCTGCGAAGCCAAGGGGGAGCTCTGAGCAGGCCTCATCGTCCATAACCATCTGAGGACTGCATTCCGACGAGACACAGGTTGATGGGAGGTTCCTATAAAGAGTCAGCACTTAACACCGCCCCCTCAGCTCACACACCCTGCTCTCCGCCCAAGAACTGAAGATTTACTATGGCCCAGAAGCTCCCTGTAACCAGCAACCCCATTCTGTTCCAGCAAACAAATGACACAGCAGAACCAGTAAATGTTAGGAACACCGGTTTGCAACATGCCAAGAATGAGGCCAAAGGTGTGCGCAGAAAAGCACGTTTACTGCAGCTCCCTAAAATGACAAAGTGGTGGGAGCTTCGTTCACACAGCCTGCCTTGGCACTAAGTCGCCCACAGAAACAAAGGCGTTTGAATCCAAAGGGCTTTGTGCACAGGTGGGCTGCGCAGATTCGCTCTGTCCTCACACACACCTTTATTTACAGAAAAATGGCTTTGTAGCTAGCGCCCAATAAAAACCAACCACTGCAACACTAGCTCAGATTCAAGTAAACTTAAATGAGTTTTTCTTGTTAAAAAGATAAGGAACAACGATGAAAAACTACGAAAATCTAAAGGCTAGGAATTGACCTGAAAACAGCTGCAAAAAGGCAGCGAGGAGTGAAGTCACACGGAGGAAAGGCGCCATCAGCCGCTTCTGGTCACCAGCACAAGGTTCCGAAGTATTAAAACACGCACGACAGCGCGGCTGTCCCTCGGTATCCGCAGGGGAAACCCAGATTCCTGGACGCTCAGGCCCCGAGGCTGGCCCTGCGCCTGGGGCTCCACACCCATGGTTTCCCCGCAGTGCAGGACCATAATTACTCAAAAATCCGAGAAAAAGTGGACTGCACCATTCACTGCCGTGTGCTCAAGGGTCAACTGTGCAGCAGCTTTTAAAACCAAGGAATATTCAGACGTGTTGGTGACTCAGGAGAACAAACGAAAAATTTTTTAATTTTAAGAGAATGCAACATTAAAGTAAAACGTGGTTGTCAGTGGTACTGGGTACCAAACTGAATTCTATTAAAAAAGTGTTTGCGTGTGCTTGTGTGCACATGTGTTTATGTTTCTTTTTCTAGAAATGGCATTTAATTTACACTAATATGAGTTGAACATAAAGTCAAGCTGTAAGCTTTGTATAGGCCCAACTTCTATAAAATTAATCAGCACATAAAACAAAGCTCTGAGAATGTGGCTCCATTTTAAAACGTGACACATTTCAAACCCTACAGAGGACTTCATGTTACAGAGAAAGTACACTAGGAGTTGGAAAAGAGAACAAAGTCACATTAAAGTTCCTAAAACCCAATAATCACAACCAAGCTTAACATCAGTTAGTCCAGTAATGACACCGGGACGACTGCTCAACTCCTAGAACAGGGCTTGGCAACGTCCCTCTGCAAAGTGCCGGCACCACGTACTTCTGGCTCTCCGGGCCCGCGGTCTGCCTCCATGCAACTCCAGGAGCCGCACAGACAACACACGGACAGACAAGCGCGGCGCTCCCACGACAGAACTTCACCGTCACAGGCCAACTGGGCCTTCGGTCATAGTCTGCTGAGCCTAATCTAAAATGTTAAGGAATTATTCTAGATTTTTCCAAAGACAGTTGACTGATCTTGCAAAAGGCACTGGCCTTTGGAAATCTCAAATCTTCGCTTGTAAAGTGGTGACAGTGAGCACTCCTCCCTTCTGATCAGACGCCACATGTTTAAAGCAGATTCAGTGCATGTGGTTCAGAGATGAGACGGTAAAATATGAACTGTCTAGAATCCTAAAATGGATAACTTACTCTGGATAAAGGGGTGAGTGGTTACTTCTTAAACCTGCAAGAACATGGCCACCGCGTCATAACCTCTGAGATACACTTGGATCCAAAAGTCCGGGCAAGAGGTGTTTACTACCTTACCCGGGCTTTAACTCAACATGGTTAAAATTACACCTGGAAAATCTTGGTAGAAGCTCACAGAACAGAGCTGTGCAGCAGTGATTTTTATGCCCACAAAGTCACGAGCAGAAAGAAAGGGCAACGAGGAGAGTGCTTGCACGCGTCTGCCCCCACACCCCACGGCTCCATATGACGGGCCCCTTGGTAAAGAGGATGGGGGATGCTCCCGGGCGGCTGCCCCATGCAGGCGGATGGCATTTTAATGTTACACTGTTACAGTTCCTTCATACCTGTTAACAGGTTTGTTACTGAAGGAGAAGCCAATTAAGTCCCAAATCACAGGTTCAGTCAGCTCTAAAATTAAATCCCTCTGTATGACTCCAGTTTATTATTCTGAACATGAGAACAGGCTTCTAAAGCTGCCCTTCTCTTCAGGCAGAATATCCTGAGTCCAGTGATGCAACCTTAATGTTTCAGGTTCGTGTTACCGTTACTGACAATTCATGACCGATCAGCACGCAGGGCGGTAATAAAGATGCTCCCAGGGCCGATCAAAGTGACCTCGTATGTTTAGTCCTGTGGATGCGAGTCCAGATTTTTCAGTAGCACTATTTTTTCAAAAAAGTATTCAAAGTTCTCAGAGTTAATCCAGAAAGGCATTAACTTAGAATCTTTAATTTTATGTAAATATTATTTTAAAATACCGTGGTCAGCGTACGTCCCAGGGCCTATCAAGCGTGACCGGGGCCTCGTGCTTTTTCTATTCAGTAGGAACCGACCCCCAGGTGTCCCTCCGCTGGACAGCTGCCACAGTTCAGTTGTGACCCCCAGGTGTCCCTCCACTGGACAGCTGCCACAGTTCAGTTGTGACCCCCAGGTGTCCCTCCACTGGACAGCTGCCACAGTTCAGTCGTGACCCCCAGGTGCCCCTCCGCTGGACAGCTGCCACAGTTCAGTCGTGGAGGGATGTGAAGAGGCAGGTTAGCAGGAGGGTGGCTAATGCCTGTCCTTTCAACGCCCCAAGAATGAGTCACTGAGATTTCAGCAGTTGTGCTGTCAGTCTAGAACCAGCATCCAGAGGGGGTAACTTCCTGCTCCCTGAATCCAAGAGAAATAAAGGAAAAGACGAGATCCCAGGCAGACCACTTGCCTGAATTCACTCTCGTCTCTACGAACAAGTCACTTCCCTGCTCTGAGCTGTTTCGCCCTGAGAAGGAGCACCAGTGACGTTCTGTCCCTGCCCCGCGGCGATGCCGCGGTGACTGTAGCTGCCCCCCGCGCCGCCGCCGCCCGGGCGTCCCTCACCTCTCTGCCTGCAGGGCTCCTCCTCCTCCGTGGGCTCGGACGGGTCATAGTAGGCACCGCCGTACGTGAGCCCCACAGCACGGTAGCTGCCGTCCTCGGCCAGGGCTGCGCTCAAACGTTTGTATTCTTCCTCTTGAACAAAAACGAGAATTTTATTAACAAAAACAGAAACTTACTGAGAAAAATTTTACACATATTTCTAAAGTTGTAGCTATCGGTAAAGCATACAACACAATTTCTCCAACCTCTTTTTGAGGCAAAGACAGTTTAAAAATTCACACTTCACATCTATCAGTGTACACTTCTGCCAGCACGTGTTTACCACAGACAGCAGCACACGCGATTCTGTGGACAATTTCTTCCTGCTGAGGAACTTGGGGGTTAAGAACTGCATGGAAGATTGTTAAGGCAAAGACAAGAACATCAATTTTAATTTATACGATACTGTTAAGGAAGAACAGTTAAAGAGTTTGGTTTTTGTTTTGTCAAATCCCAGTCTGCCCTCAAAAGCTGGGAAAATTCTCTGTGGCTCTATATATAAACTATCCTGAGGTCCTCTCAGAACGCAAAGACTCCTGTTTTTCCAATCCACTGGGTACTGTCAAGATAATATCAGAAAGAGTGAGTATAAAAAAATGAATGGGAGTAACGTTTAATATACTTAAAAAATTTTAAAAGTTTGTTGCTTAAGTAAGTTTGTCTTGAGCAGTACCTTGCCTTGCCTCCTCCTCAAGCAAGTCCGTATGCAAGGCTAAATACCTCTCCTCATCACACAGGGCCTCGACGCGGGCCTCCTCTTCGGAGAGCTGGTGGTCTCTGTTCCACGTCGAGTACTCAGCATCGTACTCAGACAGGTCATGCAGGTGACCGCGCCCATCGTATCTGCAATGTGAACGCGCTGGTCAGCGGCAAGGAATCACCGTCTGCGGTGCTGTGTGCGAGGCTTCAGGTGTATACTTACCGAGTAAAACGAAGGAATCAAATAATAAAGCAAACATAAAAACTCTTCCCAGATTTATACTTAATTTGGCTAGTCACAGCTCACCTACTTTTAAACTCCAGTTATCTTAACAAACTCTCACTCCTTTCCACACTATGACAAAACTTACAATTAAAGGTAAGCACTCCTCTAATAGCATAAATGGTGTCCACCTCGGTGGCAGTTCTTACCGTTTATGGTTTCGTTAACCATTCAACGCCATTTGCCAAAAAAAAATTAAAAGAAAAATTTTTTTTCTGAAAAGTCAAATATCATAGCTTACATTCACACAAACCGAATACATAAATACCTATCCGTAAGAACCAAACGGTCGAAATTTCCTCGCTCCTCTCTGCTAGTCCCGAACTCTCAGGAGAGATCTTCACCAAAGAAACTTGCGTCCATTGGAGGTAAAATCGTGGCTAGGCTGGCCCCCTAGCCACTTGGCTGAGGAAATAAGTGCTGGGTTATGTGATAGAGAGACACACATACATAGGAACAGTGA